TTCCAACCATGCAGTATCAAATCCACCTCATAGTCAGACTCAAGAATAGCCAGGTGGATAATGTTCCCTTTCAAAGGAACATAATGGGGAAACTGAACCAGGAGGATCCCATCTTAGACTGAGGCTAAAATTGTCCCCATAGCTTTTCCCAATGCTGACTTCCCACCAGTATCACCTTGTCTGAGTAGCTTGTGGCATTTCGCTCAGAGGGTGGATTATTGATTATCAATGGATTATGACCCATCAGACAACTCAAAATGAAATCCTATGAGATTTTAACTCAAACAGCAAGTTTTACTAATCACAGCTTAGGAAAAACTTTTCCAGGATTTACATCTCAAACTTAAATTTGTCCTGGTTTAAAAAGCCAATCATTAGAAATTTCTATACACTTGCAAATTCTCACCAAGCCATACATAACCCAAACAAACTGTTTGGCTAGTTTACACATTAAAACAATTACCAACAATAGCTAAATTATTTTAGCGGTAACCAAATTATGAAAAGTTGCTTGACATAGCTGACACAGAAAGTTCACCAATCTGAAACTTGAAACAAACCCATTGCCAATCAGGTGACTTCAGTTTTGTTAAATGCACTTCCAAATTACTTTACACAGAGAATCAACATCTCATTAACAGTTAAAACTACAAATTTAAACGAGCATGTTTACCCAAATTTGGAGGCTAGCTTCATTACCTTGAGCAGCATGGGCTGAGCCTGGGATTGCCCTAGAGCCCAAAGCCATTGCCAGGGGGGCCCACACCATAGCTGCTGACCCTCTCCCCTCCTTCCTTTCCCAGGTGGGGGAGGGCAAAATCAAAGGTGAGGGGTAAAGGGTGAAACTCTCTTCTATGAGAGGGGTTAACAGATACCCTCTTGACTCAAGCACAGGGAGTGGGAGAAAAGAGTGACTAGGGTTGTAAGGAGGAATTCTAAACTCCTTAATGATCAATCACAAAACCTCCAGAATCTGCCAAGATATTTTTAGCTGTTCTAACTTTCCCTGTAACCTCCACGAAGGAGGATTCAGAGGTGTAGAGGGAAGGGAGTAAGTTAGCCTCAGGGAACCAAAAAGCAACTACAGTTTTTCCCAATTCCCTAGCGCCAAGGGAATTAACAGAATTGAAAGTACACTTCTGGACAGGGCATTAGTTCTTGTCCTCTATGCTTTGGAAGGTGTACCTAGGTCCATGGCCTTCAACCAACCCAGTGGACTGAGAGTCTGAGAGCATCAGGTCGAATGCAAGACAGACTCGTAATTGTCTGCCAGAAAAGCACCTCCAAGCCTTGGTGCTTGGAGAGCAACCCCAACTGCAGAACAAAAAAGGAGGGGGGGGCAGGCTTATGTACCTTCCAGTTTGGGCTGGAGAAGAACTTGGGGTTAGGCAGTTTCCCCATACAGCCCACCAAAATGATGCGGTTTAGGGGCTCAGGGGTGCTGGGACCCCAAAATCACAACATGCAGTAATTTGACCCAAGCGTTATTTCAGCCAAAGACAAGATTTATTAGAACATGAGTCATATTGGGCAGAATCTTAAGGAGTCTGGACATTAGTAAGCAGTGGCTAGATTTTAAGAATCTGAGCCATGGATAGATTTTAGGATTCCCAGCTGTGGCTAGATTATAAGAATCCAAGCAGTGGCTAGATTTTAAGAATCTAGGCCCACAACATGACTATTGTAGAGGTGTTTTGTATGATTACGCATGTATAACCTATATTGAATTGTTTGCTTTCTCAGTGTGGGGGTGGGGCAGATGGTGAGGAGGGAAGAAAGGAGAGAATTTAGAACTCAAAATTTAAAAAATGAATGTTAAAAATTGCTTTTACATGTAACTGGGGAAAAATAAAATACTGAATAAAAAGAGAAGAGTTGGGGGCAGGGAAGAGACTGTAGAGGTATGGATTCCTGCTTTCTTTGGAGCTTCATCTAGATAGATGTGGACTATATGTGTGCGTGCACATACATACATATGTATACATTTTATAGATAGATAGATAGATAGATAGAATAGATATATATAGATATATGTACGCTCACTTTTCTCCCTCTTTCTCTGTTACAGCACAGATCATGATGACCCAAAATATAAGAGTATAATCAGATCTCTAGAAGTAACAGGATACCTCTAAGACTCAACCTGTGGAGGGTTGTCAAGGTTTCAGGTATATATACGTATATATACATATATAATATATATATATAATATATAATTAATATATATATATACACACACATATACATATATACATGTATATATATATGTATATACACACATACATAAATGTATATATATACACACACATACACGTGTGTGCATATGTATGTATGTACACATATATAAAGATACACACACACACACACACACACACACACAGGTTGGCTGAGTAACTCTGTTGGAGCCTTTGTATGCACAACACACCCAATTCTGGCTCACTAGCCAATTAAAAGCCTTTTTAAAACACACAATAATCCAACAGGAAACAGGAATACCTGAGTATAAACATCACCAAACTCTATACAGGGACACCAAGACCTATACAGGCAGAGAACACTGTGTGTGCTCTAAGGACTGTGCTCCCATTGGCTAGTCCCCCTTTACACTAATTTTTCTGATCATCATTAGATATATTTCAGATCTGGTCAAGAACCTACAATGTCTATACCAGGAAAGAATAAATACAACTGAGACAGAAGAAACAAAATGGCCTTTATCCTCAGAGCAAGTTGTGCTCTAGAAATTCACATCAAACTATGGCGGCAACTGTATCATTTGAAAGGCTATTCTATTTGTCCAATGCTATCCAGTATAATCTCTTCCTACTAAATTTTGAGCTTAGCTCACAGCATTCATCTCTTTTGCATGTTCAAGAAATTTGTACCAAAGGATTAACTTAGTGGATTGCATCTCCAACTGATTGTCATTGCCTGGGCAATGAGCATCCTTTAATCTACTTTGTTTTCCTCTGTGAATGGCTAAAGCCAATCTCTTTTGATTGACCACAGATCCAAATAGGCAATTGGAAGTCACTGAAAGCCTCTGAGTAAGGGGGTCTTGTGGCGAGTGCTAGGCATGAGGACAACTGAGAAAAAGAGTTGGTTGTTTGGCTGGTTCTCGTCCTTCATTCTTGCAGAGGACCAAAGTGACATCACTATGCCATAGTTCGGTTTCAGTGTGTCCAACTGTGGCTGATCAGACCAATACGATCTCAGAATGGTTTACCACAGATTGGGCACAAATAGCCCATGTGAACATTTGGAGTGGATTCTCTAAATTTGTGCATCTCACATTTCTTTTGAGCTACTTCAATTCTGCTTTGCTCACAGAGCATATCACCTTCTCTGATGCGGGCATGCCACACTGAGCAGTCCTGCGCCAGTGTCTCCCATGTCACACAATTCCTAAGGTCTTAAGAGAGACCTTGAGAGTGTCCTTGTATCGCTTCTTCTGACCACCATGTGAATGCTTGCCTTGTGTGAGTTCTCCACGAAATAGTCTTTTTGGCAAGCACACATTTTGCATTTGAACAACGTGGCCAGCCCATCCGAGTTGTGCTCTCTAAAGCAGAGTTTGAATGCTTGACAGTTTAGCTCGAGAAAGGACCTCAGTGTCTGGTATCTTATCCTGCCAGGTGATCTTCAGAATCTTCCTAAGACAATTCAAATGGAAGCAATTCAATTTCCTGGCATGTGCTGGTAGACTGTTCAGGTTTCACATGCATACAACAATGAGGTCAGCACAACAGCTCTGCAGACCTTCAGTTTGGTAGTCAGTCTAATACCTCTTCTCTCCCACGCTTTCCTTTGGAGCCTCCCAAACACTGAGCAAGCTCTGGCAATGCATGTGTCAACCTCATTATCAATGTGTACATTCCTGGAAAGTACAAGGGAGAAGAATAATGTTATAGAAAGAACATTAAGCTAGGAATTAAGAGCCCTCGGTTTAAATCCTTGTCTTGATCTTGATCGCTAGCTTACTGTATAACCTTCAGGAGACATATTGGACTGTATGATGTTTGAGGACACTTCCAACTCTGAGCTTCTATAATGTCATTTCCCTACCCTGGGCCCTAGTTTTCCTATTTGTACAATAAAAGAAGTAGACTAGAAGATCCTTAGAGTCCCTTCCAGCTCTGATATTCTGTGACTCAGTGAAGATGACCAATAGCTTATGCAGGAGCTGTAAGAGAGAGTCAAAGGCAGAGCCCGGCTAGGACATTGTCATAATACTCCAAGGGAAAAGCAACAAAAGTCTAAACTAAGGGCTGCTTGTAGGGAGGGAAATGATGGGATGGGTATGGGAGGATAGGAGTTGGTGACTGACTGGATGTTGGCCAAATTGGAAGGCTCTGCCCTTCAATATAAAACTAGTGCCAGGGCAGTTGGATTGGTGCCTAGAATCCTTCTTACTACAGGGTGCCCCCTTCCCCCACTGCTGCCCTCTCCTTGGAATTACTAAGGCCCGGGAAAGAGTAAATGAAGAAAAATGTCCATGGAGGCTGCTGTTCAATCTACCTGGTTGGAAGAGGAAAGCAAGAAGTGGAGGGAACAGAGGAAGATGATTCAGAGGAAAAAGGAGACAAAGAGAGAAAGGGAAGACAAATAATTAAAGTATGAGGAAGGGAAGAGAGGGAGGGAAGAAGAGGAGAAAAGTGGAGAGAGGAGAGTCTGCATGCAGATAGAAGGACAGAATAAGGATGGTTACAATGTTGTAGGGGCTCTCTTCATATGTACAACTGGGACAAGATAGTGGGGGAAGGAAGAGAAAAAGAGAAGAGGAAAGAGATCAGGAGGAGAGGTGGGAGGCAGCTCTGAAGCCGGTGGAGAGAGTGACCTTGAGGGCCTGGGTTATTAATTCTCCTACCCTTTCACTTACTGCTTCATCTTTTGTTCTCATTAACCCTCTCCTCTTTTTTCTGACTGGCCCAGCCTCCCTTTCCTGGCTCCAATCAGATTCCAGTGACTCATTCAGAGTTTTTCTGTCTTTTTTTTTTGCCTGCAGAGGTGGAGTCTGAGGCAGAGAGAAGTTGGTAAGAGGGAGAAAGAGGATTATACAACATTTTCCTTGTTTTGGGGTCAGAGTGAGCAGCGAGTGGGATCCCAAGACATCAAAACAGTGACATCCAGAACTGACTGACCCCAGAGCTACCTTCATCAGAAGAGGATTTACCAGGTACTGTCTGAAAAGACTCAAAATGGAGTCTGGAGCAGGAGTATCCCATCCGGGCTGATGATGACAGGGGTGGGCCTGGTGGGGAACAGGGTGGGATAGAGAAATATGAGGAGATGGAACACAGAGGAGCACAAAGAGGAGGACCGAAGGAGAAGCTGGTGAGGTGGGGGATGAGGAGAGGCAGAGGACCCAGGAGTTGGGGAAAAGTTTGGAGGTTGGTAGAAATTCAGAGCTCTGGTAATTCTCCCTGCAAACAGGCTTGACTAGGAGGTCGACACAGGGCCCATTCTTCCCCAGATACCCTGCCCCCATCTGACCTAGGTCTGCTGAGTCACTGTTTTGTTCTCTCTTCTGTGAGACTTTCATTCAGCTCTGAAGATCTGGGCTGGACAGGGGTCAGCTGAGATAAAAAAGAAAAAAGTGACAGCAAATGTCACTTTTTCTCCAGAAGAAAGACTCTTTCCCCTGGCAGTCTCAGAATCTCCAGTCTCCAGAGACAGACATGCTTGAATCACATTTGCTGGAGATCTGAGTGAATCAGAGTCCCTTGTTTCCCTGAGGGTCCCCAAGGAGAGTTTGGCAGCTTGGCTAGTGGAAAAGGACCCAAAATAGGGATCAGGGAAGACTTAGGTGTGAAGCCAGCTGCTGCTGGTGCTGCCTAGCTGTGTACCCTTGGATAAGTCACAACCTCTGTGAGCCTCAGTTTCCTTCTCTCTAAAAAGCAGATAAAAATATCGGGAGTACTTAACTGCTTGGGCTGTTGTAAGGTTCAGATTAGTCTGCCTGTCTGTCTGTTTCTCAATATAGCTATATAGAGTATATATTGGGAGTTTGTGTGTGTGTGTGTGTGTGTGTGTGTGTGTGTGTGTGTGTACCCTTAAAGCACTGCATAAATGGCACTGTTGCTAATGAATGGAATGAAAGGGAAAGAGGATGGAGGTTCAGAGGATCATATTGTTGTTGCTGTTGTTTGTCCTTCATTCTCGAAGAGAACTTGTGACATCAGGGAGGTGATGCCATAACATGCAAGTGAATTGGATTTAAGTAAGGGAGGTCTATGCAGTCACCAGCTTCATTTTCTCCTCCAGAGTTATCTGGGTTCAGTGGCCAGATGTAGACCTGGATGATAGGAGATGGCCCTCAGAGGATCATAGGTTGACAGCTGAAAGAGGAAACAAAGGCTGCCCACCCAAATCCTCCTCTTATAAATGAGGAAACTGAGGCACAGAGAATTCAAGTGACTCATAACCTTCCATTTCCTATCTCTGTGCCTTTGCATCTCAAGGCTTTTTGTGCCTCATGCCTGGAACTCGCCCCCTTATCAAAAACCTCTTCTTCTTAGAGAAAGCCTAGTTTCCTTCAAAACTCAGCTCAAACACCACCTCCTACATAAAGCCTTTCCTGATTCCTCCAGGTGAGGACCCTCCCTCTCAAATAACCTCATATACTTTCATATATATAATTTCACACTTTTTCTATGTGTGTATGCACACACATATACTGTATATACAAACATCTATTTTTTTCCTTTCCATATATCTATATCTATAGCTATATCTGTATCTGTATCTGTATCTATATCTATATATATCTAGAAAAGAAAGGAAGGAAGGAAAAAAGAAAAAGGAAGGAAAAAAGAAGAAAGGAGAAAGAGAAAAAAGAAAGTGAAGGAAAGAAAGAAGAGTGATAGAAAGAAAGAATGAAAGAAGGGAAGGAAGAAAAAAGGAAAACAGGAAGAAGGAAAGAAATAAGGAAAAAAGGATGGGAAAGAAAAATGAAACCTATTTTGGTTTTCATTTCAATTCTATTGATTTGTTTTGGTTTTTATATCATTTATATTTACAAATTACTCTCTCTTGCAACAAGGTAAAAATAACTAGTATTATGACTCTTTGACAAGTGCATACACCATTTCACATTTCTAGTACCTTCCCACCTCTCTCTATTTTTTAAATGAACAGAAATCTATTTCCTTTCCCTCCCAATCCCTGCTCCACTGGGGAAGAAAAAGAAAAAAAAATTTTTTTTGTAACAAATGTACATACTGAAGCAAAACAAATTACCCTGGTGACCAAAACGTATGTGTTCCATTGCCTAGCCTCTCTGTAATGCTTCATCACTGGTCCTCTGGAATCGTGAGTATTAAAATGGAGTTCCATTTTAGACATGCTCACTTTGGCTTTCAGACAGAGATGTCCAGCTGGCAGTAGCTAAGAGCAGACTACCTATCCTCCAGCCTCAGCATGCCCAAGTGACCCTTGCATTGCATAGTTTCCAGTCTCTCCTTATCCTGGTCACCATCCTCTGCCCTGGCTCTGGCTTGGCTGTGCCCTTTCTCACTTGTGGCACCAGGTAGAGGAGGGTTAGCCCTAGAGAGGAGAAGCAGTCTTTCTTTCTCTTAGACTGTTAAGAAGGAGACCATCCTGCCCCTAAATTCCCCTTCTGGTCTCGGTGTCCTGCCTAAAAGGGGTCCTAGGATGACGACAGGAGCCACTTTGTCCAGCCCCAACGCCCTGGGAAGTGTGTCTCCTACTGACTTGGACCTCCCTCATCTGTTACCTAGTTTCTAATGCCCGGTCTAAACTTTTACACACCTTGGTCTGTCACCATCTCTGCCCAGACCCTTAGCCCTCTCCCCCTCAACTCTTACGATGGTCTTTTCTCCCTGGTGACTCCACCTGTTCAGGGAAATTAGGACCCAATCCTGCAGCTGAGAAAGGGCCCAGTGAAGGTGGGGGTGGGATTGAGGAAAGGAGGGTTTGAGAAGTACCTGCCTGATGCAAAGACAAACTTTTTGCATTTCAGGATTTCCTGTTACTTTCTCCTCCCTCTCTTGCTCCATACTCTACCCTCTAGGAAGTGCTGAGCAGCCTGGGACTTCTTCCTAACTATGCCTAGTAGGGCTATTCACAGCCAAAGGAGTCTTGGGCTGGTGATGTGCCAGCCCTACCTCCCTTACTGCCCAGCATCACCTGAGGCTATAGTGTTTAACTTTACCTCAGAGTCAGGTGCTGTCTCTGTGCCCTTCTGTGTCTCAGATACCAAGACAGCTACCACGCATCACTATTACTGGGCAGGGGGGTGAGAGGGAAGGCGGAGGTCTGGAGAATTTTCACCCTGACTCTGTGTCAAATGGATAAGGCTTTCTGGGTCACTCTACCTGCTGCTCCAGGATTTTCACCCAACTCCTCCTTCCCTATTCAGCCCTCGGGGAAACTGATGAGACCTCCGGCAACCGGATGGGGCTATTCCAGCTCAGGAGTGGCAGCTTAGCTCCAGCCTCTCGTTCACTGAGGGGAGAGGGATGTTCTTGAAGCAGCCAGTGTTTGGGAAGAATTGGGAGGGGGAAGTAGGAGCGAAGGGCAGATTGTGGGTCCAACCACGGCAGATGGCACGTTTGTCAGCAGGACACTGAAAGAGTCAGAGGGGAAGCAGGATTAGGTGGTTCCCTTGGAGGGTCCCCCTTCTACACACCCCAAGAGCTGGCTGCAGGGAAGAGAGCCTTGTCTGCCACCCTGAAGGGCTCGAGGGTCTAGAACTGGAATTCAAACTCAGGCCAGGTCAGCTTGGACTTGGGAGAGGCCTCTAGGAAGGGAAGTCACATGAGTCAGCTGTCTTACTTGAGTGGTTCACAAAGTGCCTGTGAATCTGCAGCCTGGAGCCTGGAAGAGGCCAATGGGGGTGATGGGCTCCTAGGGTTAGTTACTGACCTCAAGAAAATGCTGGCATCCAGAAGAGAAAACAACAAATGCAAGACCAAGAGCCCAGCTGGGGCAGGGGAGGCCCCTCTGTGGGGGGGGGGCAGGGGCCTCCCTACTCTCCTTCCCATCAGGAGTCTGGGAGATGTACACCCCTCTAGGAATGTGCCTTCAGAGAACTCTAAGCCTAGAGGGGCCGAGGCACTGGTGCCACTCGGACCCTTGTTGTTTTCCTTCTGCCACAGACCTCTCAGTTTTATCTTGCCTCCCTCTGCTTCCTCTCCTAATTTTGTTTCTCTCTCCTCCCCCTTTAAACTGCTCTGAAATGGTTCACTACAGTCAGGCCTCCTCTCCATGCCTCTTAGCTTCTTCATCCCTTCTCCCATGTGTCCAGCCCCAACAATTATCCTAGGACTGTCCTATACCTCCCCCTCTGTCTCATGGTCTCTCTCCCTGCAGGATGCTGCCTGCCCCCAAGTGGCTATCTCATCTTCTGGGCCTGGCAGTCCTGGAGCCTGGGGTTTCTTCCATCCTGTTACTGGCCTTACTGGCCCTTGGCACCTGGATCCTAGTCAAGGGCCTAGCCTGGGTCCAACGATACTATGTCAACTGCCAGAGGCTTCGGTGTTTCCCTCAGCCCCCTCTTAAGAACTGGTTCTTTGGCCACCTGGGGTTGGTAAGTGGGGAACCTGGGGTGGGGACTGGGGGAGTCAGTGGAGACAGAGGGTGGAAGGCTAAGGGGACTAATGTACTAGGAGGAACTTGGGCTAGAGGCTGGGAATGGGAAGGTTAGGGGGACTGATGGGAGGAGGATCAGGTACTGAGGAAGGGCACCAAGCTTCAAACATAGTGAAATTCATGGAAGTAAAGGAAGACCTGGTTCCCTAGACTAGATGAAATTGCAGGACATGAGGTCCATGGGCCACTGAGGAAATTGTGGGAATCTCCAAGACTCCCCAGTGGGGATTCTGATTGGGATTATGAGGACTGAAATACTAAAGGCTTGGCAAAACTGAAGGGCCTTGAGGAGTGTTGGACAGAGAAGGAAAGATCTGGTGGCTGAGAAGATCGAATATGGAAAGTGGTGGAGAGCCTGAAAAGCTGGGAGCACTAAGGGGACAATGGACCAGAGTAACGGAAGGGCTAAGCTAAAGAGTTGCTGAGAAACGGAACATGTGAGGAAAGCCTGTCTTGAAAGGGTGATCTGAGCATTCTGTCTTTCAGACATTTCTCTGGCTGGTAGAAATGGGGTTGCCCATCCTCAGAACTGTCTCAAGGGAAGCTGGGGAAGGTGGCTACATGCTCAATGTGATGTGGAGTCATCAAGAGTGCTTAGGGCCCAGACTGAATGCCTGGAATATCATAGGAAGGTCCAAAGAGTCCTGCTTGGTCTGGATGAAGAGCATCAAAGGCTCCTTGGAGATTCTCTCTCTTCCAATTTAGTTCCTCCTCTTCACTATCCTCCAGGCTTCTTCCCAAACCAGAGCTTTCCTGCCAACAGATATAGAACCCCTGTAATAGACAGAGATTGAGGGCAAAGACTGAACAGTATGGTGTTATTCTCTCCTTAAGCCAAATCCTATGAGAATAAGATTTCCTCATTCCCTCTCACCTTCCCCTGTTTCCCCTTCCACAGTAAGAGACTTTTCTGTTTTTTTTGTGAGATAATTTACCCCATTCTACCTCTCCCTTTCTTCTCCAAATATCATCCTCTCTCATCCCTTAATTTTATTCTCCAGATATGACCCCTTAATCTTCAGCACACCCTGTGCCCTCTATCTATCTACATATACATACATATAATTTTTTTCCTCCAACTACCGTGATACTGACAAAGGTCTCATGAGTTATAAATATCATCTTTCCATGCAGGAATGTAAACAGTTCAGCCTTAATAAGTCTCTTATGATTTCTCTTTCCTGTTTACCTCTTCGTGTTCTACTTGAGTCTTGTATTTGAAAGTCAAATTTTCTATTCAGCTCTGGTCTTTTCATCAAGAATGCTTGAAAGTCCTCTGTTTCACTGAATGACCATCTTTCCCCCTGAAGGATTATACTCAGTTTTGCTTGGTAGGTGATTCTTGATTGTAATCCTATCTCCTTTGACCTCCAGAATATTATATTCCATGCCCCCTGGTTCCTTAACATAGAAGCTGCTAAATCTTGTGTTTCCTGATTGTGTTTCCACCATACTTGAATTGTTTCTTTCTGGCTGCTTGCAATATTTTCTCCTTGACCTGGGAACTCTGGAACTTGGCTACAATGTTCCTAGGAGTTTTCCTTTGGGGATCTCTTTCAGGGGGAGATCTGTGGATTCTTTCAATTTCTATTTTGCCCTCTGGTTCTAAAATATCAGGGCAGTTTTCCTTGATAATTTCTTGAAAGATGATGTCTAGGCTCTTTTTTTGATCATGGCTTTCAGATAGTCCAATAATTTTTAAATTCTCTTTCCTGGATCTATTTTCCAGGTTAGTTGTTTTTCCAATGAGATATTTCTTTTTTTTTTTTAATATAAATTTGTTTATTTTTAGTTTTCAACATTAACTTCCACAAGTTTTTGAGTTCCAAATTTTCACCCCATCTCCCCCTTCCCCCACCCCAAGATGTCATGCATTCTGAATATCCCTTCCCCTAGTCTGTCCTCTCTTCTATCCCTCTCCCCTTCTCTTATCCCTTTCCCCTTCTATTTTCCTGTAGGGCAGGACAGACTTCTGTACCCCATTTCCTATATTTCTTATTTCCCAGTAGCATGTGAAATCATTTTTTTTAAAAACATATGTTTTTAAAACTTTAGGTTTCAAATTTTCTGTCTTCCTCCCTCCCCACACACCCTCATTGAAAAGGCAAGCAACTCAATATAGGTTGTACATGTGCAGTTATGCAAAACATGTCCATAGTAGACATGTTGTGAAAAACTAACTCTCTTTCCCTTAATCCTATCCTGCCCTCCCATTTATTCTATTCTTTCTTTTGACCCTGTCCCTCCTCAGAAGTATTTACTTCTGATTATCCCCTTTCCCAATCTGCCCTCCTCTCTATCATCCCCCTGTTATCTTGTCCCCTTCTCCCCCTATTTTCCTGTAGGGTAAGACAGATTTCCATACGCAATTGAATGTGTATCTTATTCTCTCCTTAAGCCAAATCCTATGAGAATGAGATTCACTCCCAATGAGATATTTCACATTGTTTTCTAATTTTTCATTCTTTTGGATTTGTTCTACTGTGTCTTGATTTCTCATAAAGTCACTATCTTCCAATTTCTCTATTCTAATTTTTAAGGAAGTATTTTCTTCAGTAAGCTTTTGGACTTCCTTTTCCATTTGGCCAATTTTGCTTTTTAGGGTATTCTCCTCATTGGCTTTTTGGACCTCTTTTGCCATTTGGGTTAGGCTATTTTTTAAGGTGTTGTCTTCTTCAGTATTTTTTTGGGTCTGCCTTAGCAAGCTGTTGAATTGTTTTTCATGATTTTCTTGCATCACTTTCATTTCTCTTCCCAGTTTTTCCTCTACTTCTCTTACTTGCTTCTCAAAATCCCTTTTGAGCTCTTCCAAGGCCTGGAATGGATTCACATTTTTCTTGGAGGCTTTGGATGTGGGAGTTTTGACTTTGTTGTCTTCTTCTGGTTGGATGTTTTGATCTTCTTTGTCACCAAAGTAAGATAATATAGTCTGACTCTTTTTGTGAGGTTTGCTCATGATCCCAGCCAACTACTTGAGTTTTACACTCTTTGTTAACAAACAGAGTTTAAACTCTGCTTCCAATGTGGAGAGTGTACTGTCCCAAGCTTTGGGGGTTTGTATAGCTGTTTTCAGAGATACTTCTAGGGACTTGTAAATTTTTGGTTCTTCCAAGGTGCTATAATAAAGGTCAAGGTATTTACTCTTTTCCTGGCCTGTGCTCTGGTCTTTGGGTGACCAGCCACAAGCAGCCTTTTCTCTCCTGGAACTGTGAGGAGGGTTTCCTCTCCACCACCATTACAAGCTGCACCACGCTAGCACTCCTCTCACCCCAGGACCGCCCCCCAGAACTGTGACCCAAATGCAAGCACGGGCAAAGCAAGAGATTCCTGCCTCAGCACCAGCAAAGAGATCCCTGCAGTCCCCCTCTGATCAGCCATTTGATTCCCCCTCATTCTGTGGGCCAGAAGCTCAGGATGTAGCCACCACCCTGGTGCCTGCACTCTGTGCTCTGCACTCTGTAACTGGCTCTGACCTAGCTCCTCTCTCAGCACCTCAAAAACAGACTTTTCCCACTGACCTTCTAAGTTGTCTCCAGCATTTGTGGATTGAGGAGTCTGGAAACTGGCACAGCTGCCTGTGATTCATTCCTCTGATGCCTGCTCCAGGTTCACTGTGGCCTGCATGCCCATGCTGAACTGCGCTCTTCTCCCAGCCCAGCGTAACATGCCTTTCTGAGTAACCATCCAGGCTGTCTTGGGCTGGAAATTTGTTTTACTCTGTCTTTTTGTGGGTTCTGCTACTTTAGAATTTGTTTAGAGCCATTTTTTTTTACGGGTATTTGGAGGGGTTTGGAGGAGAGCTGAAGTAAGTCACTGCTTTCACACAGCCATCTTGGCTCCGCCCCCCCTTTCTATTTTCTTATAGGTCGAGATAGATTTCTATACCCTATTGCCTGTATATCTTATTTCACAGCTGTATGTAAAACAATTTTTAACATTTGTTTCTAAATCTTTGGGTTACAAATTCTCTCCTTTCCTCCCTGCTCACCTACCCTTATTGAGAAGCCCATCATCTTGATACAGGTTATACATGTGTAGTCATGCAAAACACTTCCCCATAGCCACACGGTGAAAGACTAACTATATTTCCCTTTATCCTATCCCCCCATTTATTCTATTCTCTCCTTTGATCCTGTCCCTCCTCAAAAGCATTTGCTTCTGATTACTCCCTTCCCCAATCTGCCTTCCCTTCTATCATTGCCCATCCCCTACCTTATTCCCTTCCCTCCCATTTTCCTGTAGGGTAAGATAGATTTCCATACCCAATTGAGTGTGTATGTTATTCCCTCCTAAAGCCAAATCCAATGAGAATAAGATTCATTTGTTCACTTTCACCTTCCCCCTTTTCCTCTCCATGGTAAAAGCTTTTCTTCCCTCTTTTATGTGAGATAATTTACCCCATTCCACCCCTCCCTTTCTCCTTCTCCGTGTACAATCCTCTCTCACCCCTTAATTTTATTTTATAGATATCATCCCTTCATATTCAACTCACCCTGTGTCCTCTGTCTATATGCATTCCCTCCAACTACCCTAATACTGACTAAGGTCTCATGAGTTACAAATATCATCTTTCAAGGTAGGAATGTAAACAGTTCAACTTTAATAAGTCCCTTATGACTTCTCTTTCTTGTTTACCTTTTCATGCTTCTCTTGAGTCTTGTATTTATTTGAAAGTCAAATGTTTTTTTTCAGCTCTGGTCTTTTCATCAAGAATGCTTGAAAGTCCTCTATTTCACTGAATGTCTACTTTTCCCCTGAAGGATTATACTCAGTTTTGCTGGGTCAGTGATTCTTGGTTGTAATCCTAGTTCCTTTGACCTCCAGAATATCATACTCCAGGCCCTACAGTCCCTTAATGTAGAAGTTGCTAAATCTTGTGTTATCCTGATTATGTTTCCACAATACTTGAGTTGTTTCTTTCTGGCTGCTTGCAATATT